GGACTTGGACTGCGCAGGTGTTCTTTACGCTGCACACTCTGACCATTCTAATGAAATTGCATTCATACGCTTTCTACAATGGGCATCTCAGCGTCACAGAGTGCCGCCTTGCCTCCCTCGACCAGCCAGACCCAAAGACGCCGGAGCCTCCAACTGCTATCCACTACCCGGAAGTGCACCGACGTCGGCCGTCAATGAAGCAGCACGATAAAGACCAGTCCGCAGAGCCCTTAGAGAGGCTGCGCGAAGATCTAGCCACGGAGTTGACCTCCTCGCTGGGCAACATCTCATACCCGCAGAACCTGCACATTGGAAACTATGCTGACTTCATCTTTTGTCCGACCCTTTGCTATGAGCTAGAGTATCCCCGACGAAAGGAGCGACGTTGGTCGGAAATCGGCCGGAAGGCCGCCGCTGTATTTGGTTGCATCTTCTTGCTCACCCTGACAAGCGAGGAATTCGTCGTCCCCGTGTTGGCAGAGGCCAGCGCCCAACTCCGGCTCGTCTCCAAAATCACAGACAAGGCTCTCGTCCTTGCCGAAACCATTAGCATGCTCCTCTTTCCCTTCACTATCATCTTCCTGCTGGTGTTCCTCGTCATCTTCGAATACGTACTAGGTGCATTCGCAGAGCTGACTCGGTTCGCCGATCGTCATTTCTACGCAGACTGGTGGAATTCCTGCGATTGGTAAGTCGAAATTGCAGTTCTCAATGCTCGGGTAATTTAATTGACCAATTTTTGCTTAGGTTGGAATTTTCCCGCGAGTGGAACGTCCCTGTCCACCACTTCCTCTTCCGCCACGTCTACTGGCCCTCCCGATGTAAATTCTCCCAACCGGTGGCTATGGTTATTACATTCCTGGTTAGCTCTATCTTCCACGAGCTAGTCATGAGTTGCATCACCAAGAAGCTTCGGGGATACGGGTTCATGGCTATGATGCTTCAGCTGCCTATTGTTGCGATTCAAAAGTCTCGCTTTTTCCGTGGCCGGAAAATTCTCAACGTAAGCGGTTGTTTGGTTGATTTGATATCTTGCGGTTCTCACTGACTTACTTCCTAGAATGCTTTCTTCTGGTTCTCAATGATCTTGGGTCTGTCCATGGTAAGCTCTACATCCTCACTCTGAACGTGCAACATCCAAATGCAGTTGGTTCTAACCATGATCTTACTCCCAGATGTGTGCATTATACGTCCTTGTTTAAACGGAAATTCGGTGCGCATGCGCCTAGACACGGCGAGCTGGAAAACGGGCCAAGGAAAGCATAGAATCCTGGCGTCTTGCTATAAATCTTTGATACCATTCTTGGGTGTCTCTCTTCTTTGTACATAGCCTTGGTTATCTTTGTCTTAATAGTGCGATTTGATATTAATATTACCTACAACTAAGTATACCACTTGTACCGCCGTTAAAAAAAAGAAAAGCCGGCTGTTTATGTGGTCTCTATCCTTTACGAGGTAGGACTTGGGTAGTCTGAGATAAATTGGGCCCCACATGAGTAACATTGGATATTATTCTAGAAGCTGATCATTAGGTGTATAGCCTTGTCCAGCCACCTTGAGGGGAATTGGTCGATTCATTGACCCCTTGAAAATATGGACCCTCGGCCATGAGAATCTGTTCTCATCACTCCAGGCCCAGAAAATTGCTCTGTCGGCAGAGAACAAGTCCACGAGGCCCGGTGTGGATTAGACAAGTGAATCTGTTCTTCTTGATTTGTTGCCTCGGAATGTGGGAGATAAAAAGCCGAGGCTACCTGCACACCCAGGAGAATCGCATAAGAAAAGGCCTCCGAATGCAGGTCAGTCTACCATGATGCGTCAGCAAAGGAAAGTTCATTCATCAATACGTTTGATACAGCCGGTTTGTGTTGAAGTTCGATGTGAAAGGAACATTATGATGTTCATAATTAGGCTCAACCCCAGTCTGCACGGCTCCCATCCTCTGGGGCTTAGGCACATCGCTGCAAGAAGGCTTCTTTGCTTCTCTGCAGAGAAACGCATGCGCATCAACTTTTGTCAACCCATCAGCTAAATCCAACTTGGGCGTGCGTCTTCGCCAGAAGGTCATCCCTGTTGCTGCCATTGCCGAGGAAATTCCGACACTCAGACCAACAGAGCGGAGAGTGGACTAGTGGAGTCAGAAGTATGAGCAGAGATTACATTGTTATAAGTAGTCTGATACACTGCACATCACGTCGCTCGGTACTTGGCCAAACTTTCCATTTCGGAACGTCTGGCAATTTGGCTTGTGCTCTTGTCCACAAATGAGAATTAGATGCTCTATATTATAAACAACCAAGTGCTTCGGCATGGTAGAAAGGCTGTCGTACCCTTTGAACAATCTACCCAAGCATCGTGAAAGTGAGTCCCGAGAACATCCGATTGGCTCATTTAAACAGATCGGGGACACTTTGCTCTTTGATAGCTAGCACGAATGCCACGATACGAAATCTGCCATGAAGGATGCTCTGGTGAGAGCTTTGATCTTCCTTGTAGCCTGCTTGTTGGAATTGAGTAGTTGGAATCTTTGCAAACGCCTCATCGGAGCCGGATGCACTGAAGCGAAGAGCTACCCGTGCGCGACAGGGGCGATAGAAAATCCTTTGAATGTCTAGGCTCACTTCAGTCCGTGGGCAAGTTGCTTGATGTCTTCAGCTAGCACCTTTTTCTGATACCGATGCAGTTCCTGATTGAACCTCCAGCATATGCCCAGTTGCGGCTGTGTGATTGACTTGCTCTGCTCGTGCGATGTGACCCGGGCGGTCTAGGTCGTCGTGCTTTGGTTTCTTGGGATCTCCGATATTATCTCTGCGTGTGTTGTTGAGCTGGTTAGGATGAACGTTGCCGATGTTTATGAGGTTGTGGTAGCACCACGCATTCTCAAACACTGCAAGCATGTTAGAGCCCCTGCGAGGGCAACATCCGAGACCGTGAGGGATCTGCAGATACCCGTCGAACCCACAGTGGCGCACTGCGCTTCGTGGCGTATGTCCGTGCGCAACCCCAACTCGGGTCAGAAGCCCGAAGTCGATTCGTGACGGTACATATGCGCTCTCAGACGGGTCGTGGAAACTGATCTATCCGGTTAGTCGTTCATGGGACTCAAGCCTATCCTTTCCCCACTCTCTCAATTTGTGTCATTCTCACTCAGAACACTCGCCAAAGTCAGATACTCATCAACTTTTCTAATGCCATCACATCTAAAGAGGTTCCTCGACGACATTCTACCCCAGTAGAATTTAGTGGGAGCTAGTACATTGTATGACTTAGCACCACATGTAGTTTAGGGCTTAGGGCTTAGGCCATGGGTCTAAAAAAATTGCCAAACGCTAGTGGTGTAGACCTGGCTCTCTACTTATGCTGTGACCGAACACCTACCTGGTGGGAAATTCGCCGAAGCTAATGACCGCATGAGTGTGAAGGATCTTGAATGAAGTTCAACATGCTGAGATATGCCTAAATAATATGTCCACCGTTGTACGGGCATTCTTCTCTGGTCTTACGTTCGTTGAACGCTTTCGGGTAGGGCAGGCATCTTCTTTCGCTGTGCACAGTCTGATTGATCTTGAAATCAAAATCGAACAATCTTCTTTTATTCAAAATGGTGGAGATTGATTTTTGAGAGAGAAAGGCAACAGGGTCCCGAAATGGAAGTGAGCAATCCTTGTTATTCTTGCTTATTAGGCCTGCATTCAAAGTGTTGATGCTCAAGTAAAGATTCAACTTTGCATAGACCAAGCTTGAGGCTAAGCCCGGTAGGATGTTGGATCATCTTTCCCGAGGCTTCTATCGTTGTTGCCAAATTCATAGACATGAGTATGTAAGACGTACAAATCTGCAACACATACGGCTCAACTTTCTGCGTTGGCCTACTGGCCTTGAGGAGAAAGCTTCTCCTGTCCACAGAAAGTGTGTCACCCCAAGTCGATTTATGCCATGATGAGGAGGGTGTAACAGCAATGCAATGCATCAATACGCTTCAAGCTCGGTCTTAGCGCTCAGCAAATTGAGTGTGAGTGCCATCCATCCTCCGTCCAGGCCAACCTTGAGAGTGGATCATGCTGAGAAAAAGAAAACTCCTATGAACGTGTATTAGCCCCTGTGACTCTCAAACAGACAAGGATGAATGGAATGAAAGCTTCTGATGTTGAGTTGGTTCCTAAGGGGAACGGCAATCAAATTCGTCTGAGCCTCGAACCTTGACAGTCCAACAAGGTTGATCAGCCCCCAATAGTAAAACAGGTTAGTTTTTGCAGTCATCTAAACATTTCCGAGAACCGATCAAACCGTAAGCCTAAGTACATCAACGATCTATTCTTAGAAAATCCAATCACCGTACACAAACTTATGAGGCTTTCCCCGCCACTTTCTGTGACCCAACCCAACCCACATATCCGTCTTACTCGGCATAAAAACAGAACCAGAGAAACCAACAAAGGATCAAGGTTGTGGCATATCAAATCATGTAAAAAAAGCGTGATTCGTTAAATTGGATTTCTCCAACAAGATAGTCCACGGGGTATCTGGAAATATCCCGGGGGTAACAACGTATGGAATCAAAAAAGAGGGAAAAAAGATGAGGAAAAAAAAGAAGTATGGTAGGGAAAAAAAAAACGGTAGTCAGTAGCAAGTAGGAACCGACAAGACAATTTCGTACGCCACAAGTGCTGGATTTGGGGCAAGATAGATGCAACACACTATCTACCCCCACACCCGCGCTACTGCGCCGCCGCCACTGACAAAGATACAACTCCAGTCATGGTCTCTCGCCCCAACTACGCAGGGATAAGTAGACCAGGTGACACGCATGGAACCCGAGGTCCAAAAAAATAGACCCAATGCGCAGTGTAACAGGCGACGCATGTGCGAAAGGCGAAGAATTGGAAACGCCCCAACTCCTTAATGAGACTGAAAAAAATTCGTTCTGTTCAAAACGCAAACGGTGAAGCGTATTGGAGGCGTGAATTGTAGTATGTAATCATGTTTCATGGCTGATTGAATTAATAGGCGGACTGGCGTCTCGCCACAGCAGGAGGGCGAATTTCCTCCTCGTAATAATGGGTGCGTCTCGGCGAGTAACTAACGTCATCTGGCTTGTATGTCCGGGAGTACTTGATGTCTTTCTCCTTCGGGCGGGCGACATATTCGACATCCGGGTGAGAGCGAGGAGAAGGGCGCGCAGACCGAGTCTCAACCCTAGGCAAGTCTTCCGTGGCGTAGGTCTGATAGGTACTGCTTCGCTTGAGAGTCTGTCGTGTAGAAGGTACGCGATCGCGGTCAGGGGATCTCGCCGAGCGGTACTTAGATGATTTTGGTTCTACGACGACGTGGTCTTGTTCCTTGGCGATCTTGTAGCGGGTTGAGGTCTTGGGCAGCATTTCAGGGGTACTGGAACTGGAATAACCCGAATCGTTGCGATCACGCATTTGGGAGGTTCGCGATGGCAGTGGCTCGTGGGCCATTTCGTGTAGAGTTGAGTCGCGACTCTCCCGCTTCGGGCGGGTGAAGCCAGAGGTGGTTGCGGAGCGGGTGTTGAGGAATGAAGGGCGGAGAGACGCCTTGATACCCGGGGAGGTTACGGAGGGTTGCATCTTGGGCGGCTTGACCTCGAAGGTTCGGGTGGACTCAAGATGCTCATAGGAATTGTCGCGTGACGAAGAACGACGGCGGGAGCGGGTGGACCGTCCCGTGGATCGCGAGTTGGACAACTCTGGTTCCGCCGAGTCAAGACCATGGTAACGTCGTGGAGACTTGGAACTCTGGGCTTTGCGTGCGATATAATCTTCTGCATTGAAGCACTGACTATCGAACTTGGATTGCCAGTGATCGGCAACATTGCCATCCTCGTCGTAGCGGCGCTCATGGCGATGAGAGGAGTCCAATGGTCGCGATCGCGAATCATGCTCTCGGCGGGGCGTTGTTGACGTTCGTTTCATGTGAACATAACGAGAAGCGCTGGAATCGGATGCCTCCTCGTCGGATACTCTATAGGATTCAAAGGTACTGTGCTTTACTTCGGACTTTGCCTCGGTCTGTCGTCGTCGCTCCTGATCACGCGTCTTCGCACGGTCGGAATGTGTTGCCTTGGCCGTTTCCCGCATTTCGTTCGCTTGGTAAAACATGCTCGGTGCTCGAGCCTTTTTCTCTTCTGTCGGTTTCGCCTTTGTGCGCACGCCATACTCTTCACACTTACGAGATGACATGGACCGTGGTTCGTCCGTGAATCGCATTGTCTCCTCAAAGAAGACTTCCATCGGGACTCTCTCCTCCACGATGTGGCCATTGCGGAATTCACGATTGCCGGGTCCACTTCCTCGCGACGAGTTGTATGTGGGGTCTGTTCGTCTGCGTTCCAGCAATTCACGCTTCAACTCGGCTATCTTGACTTTTTGGTCATATTTAGTCCGTCGGACATCGTCTGAGAGAAGTTCATAGGCTTGTTGGACTTTCTGGAATTCATCTTGGGCGGCAATCCGCTGCGACTCATCTTGAACCTTGTCAGGATGGCATTTGAGAACCCGCTTTCGGTAAGCTGCCCTAATTTCAGGGATGGTGGCCTCCTTGGCGACACCAAGTACTGCATATGGGTCTATGTCTGGTGGTGAGGACATCATGGGCAAAGTTTCGTTTCAATGCCCTGAATTGAATGGGGATGAAAGAAGATAAAAAGTGAGAGTGAGAGTGAGAGAGAGAGAGAGGAGGAGGAAGGGAAG